CACGTGCTACCGTTCCGACGGTGCCGGTGTACCGAGGCTGGTGTGCAGTTCAGTGGGCACGGTGGTGTTGGGTTGGTTGGACTCGATGGTCTTGGAGGTCTTTTCCAACCTAAAGAGCCTGTGATTCAAAGCACAGATTCAGTGACAGGCAAGACACTGACCTTTGAGTCAATCACCTGTAAAACGAGGCTGGAGTGTGGTTTCCATCCTATTGCCGTGCTTGAGCCTGTCCAAACTGATCCAAGGCTATTTGCAGACCTCTCTGATGTGATGGCCTCAGAACGCTGGTGTAGAGGAGATGAGATGAAGGGACTTTGGGGTCCTCCAGTGCAAGTGCAGACGAGGGCCTGAGGAGAAAGCATTAAGTGCTCTCTTTCACCAGCCCACGCCGTCACCGCGGTGAGGAGCGTGCCACTTTTGTCCCACTGATGGCATTGAGCAGCACACAGCTGCGATTTGTGGGCTGCTGCAGACTGAGCCCGTGTATTTTTCTTGGTATTTGCCCTGAATTCTTTCAACACTAGAGGACTTGTTCACGATCACGCTGCACAAGCCCACACAGTGTTTTCTGGAATTGTATTTAAAGAATAACTGTTCTTTCTTGTTCTCACTCCAGAGATTAATGAAAGTATTAAACAAGTGGGTTGGACATAATCTTTAAGCATAATAGTTTGACCTAATTAGTTTAATTCAGTCTTTGCAATGAAAAATGTGCTCCCGTACTCTGGGAGCACTGTGACTTGAAATGCCTTGCGTTTGGAATGAAAGCCAGAAGAGAGATGGGCATTCCTCGGTGAATCATTCTGCTTCTGCAAGGCTTGTTTTCCTGGCTGTAAAACAGGAAAAAAGGGACTGATTTTCCTTCACTGCTTTGAGAGAAAGAGCTAGAAGCTTTATTTGAGCTGTGGTGGTTGAAGAGAGACAAGATCTGTAGGGAGAAGGGACATCTAATGTAAGAATTAGGTGTTACACTTCATGTCGTAATGAAACATAGGAATATTATTATATGCAAAAAATATATTATGATGATATAAACATGGTCATGGAGATTAGGAGATTCCATCATGTTCTTTCTTTCCCAGTGTACTCTGGATATTTTAACATTACATTTGCTAGCTTTTCATCCCATTCTACCTTCTTCGGTCTTTGATTATTTCAGTCCATTTTCTATCTTATTTTTTATAAAAAGTCGCGTTGTTTTGAAGAAAATTAATCAGCTTTTCAAGACGTCTTTGAAAAGGAAATGTGCCAAAAATTATTCAAAATGTCTTTGTTTAAATGAAGCCTTCAAAGTTTTGTGTTGACTTAGAAAATGTGAAAATACAAAATAGTATCTGCCAAGAATTTTTCTGGCATTATATGGGACATGGATAAGGAATTTCTGCTCCCTTGCTAGTAAACTTGCTTAAAAATTTTTAACTATGGAGTCCAGATTTGCTTGCCAAACAGTTGACCTTGCCTGTTGTTCAGTCTAACCTAAGAATGTGTTAGTATTTCTCATCTATTCTGCAAGCATAATTAGTTCTTAAAAAAAAAAAAAGAAGCAAAGGAAGAAGTAGATGTCCAGCCACACATTTGTCTGTTCGGCAGGAAAGTGTCTTTTTTCTTCTGCCTCAGTGGGACCTGCTGTACCATGTACTGATTCAATGAGCTGACTGGCTGCTCAGTGTTCTTTTTCTTTTGACTTAATAACAGAGAGTACAAAAATAACTGTTAAAACCATCTGTACCTGAGCAGATTGTCATTTATGCAACAATTTGGAGTTTATTTGTATGTAATAATAACCTGTCTAAGTGCTGCTTATGGGCTTGCGGGGCTTTAGGAGAGATGGGAATGGACTGTAAGCAGGTAGCCTAAGGCTTTGAGTCGTGGCTTTTTGATTTCATCATTAACTCTGCAAAGGGCAGAGTCTGGCTCATCCATCCTTCCCCTGATTTTATCTCACTCCAGAACAATGGGGGAGCAGAACTCAGCAAAGGCCTGGGCACTTTAGAAACACCATAACGTTTTGAGGTGGTTCTTTCATCATTTTTCGCTACTAACAGGAACGGAGCGATGAGAAAAAACAGTTTCTCAGTCTCTGAAAACTGCAGATCGGAGGTTGGACTGGGCGAGCTCAAAAATTGCACGTAACCTCCTGCAGATGCTGATTAAAGTATCTCCTTGGTGTCCTCGACTATGTAGAGTCTCCAGAAGGTACAGACCCTTCCTGGGTTCCTGGTCTGCTGGATGGGGTGGCACCACTGGCCACCGCTTGCCGCGAACCCCAGCTCCAGGGCTGCCGAGTGCCCTGTTCCCAGCTGCACTGGTGTGTCTCCCTCTCGCACCAGTAGCCCTGCTCTGGTGTGGCGCTTCCTCGGGAGCCCCGTGTGACCTGCGTGCTCGGGGCCCTCCGCTCTCACCCCGCGGGGTGCCTGGCGTGCCTCCTCGCTTCAAGTCTTTCTGCAAGCTGCTGTACTCAGTGCCTGGTTTCATTTGAGGGGAAGTTTGCGTCTGCTCTCGCTGAGCACTTGACAATTTGCAGCGCTTTTCCCTGCAAGGTCAAAAAGGGAGCGTCAGTAGCAGATGGCCCCGGGGACGAGGAGCGTTGCACTCTCCTCTGGAGACAGACACCAAGAAAGGAGCGGTGGAAGGAAGATTCCTGAACTGCTCCTCAGGTGGAACTGGTTGCATCAGTGCCTGCTTTATTCCTTCCAGCATAAACTCAGCAGTTCTCCACCAGAAAGGTCTAGGTTTGTTCACCGGAGCAGTTAAGGCATGTGAGAGCCTGCATTCCCTATGCCACAAGAGGAGCGCTCAGGAGGCTCCATGAAAAGGGAATTTCAAAAGCAGCTCGGCCTTGCTCAGAGGTACTTGTACCAGTCAGCTCTGGGATGGCTCCTGTGGTTTTGAAAATCACTCCTCTCCTCCAGAAGAACTTCTCTTTTGAATTATTTGTACATTTTTTTACTAACAGCCTGGTCTCCGAGAGCGTAGCCAGTGCTTCACCAGCGATGATAATTTCTGGTTCAGTACAACTCCCTCAGGTACTCCATTAGCTCGGCATAAACTGTTCCCAAAGGCTCCCGTTAGTCCTGTAAGAGAAGCAGCCCCCGTGTAAAACATGCCTTTCCTTCGCTGTTCCTGGTTCTCATAAATAATGGACGAAGGCTTCATCTCCCGTGCGGGGCCCGCTCAGGCTGTAATGCAGGTCTCGCCCCTGCCCTCCGTCGTTCCCAGCACACACAGGTCACTGGTTCCACCCCAGCAGTGCCTTAGGCTGGAGGTTCTGGGGCCCGTCGGGAGCTGGTCCGTGGCAGTAACAGCGCGGCAGGGGATGGGACGCGGATCAGCGTTGGGCGCGTGTGCGGGGTCGTTCCCGTTTGGACGCGGGTCGTTGAGGCTGTGGTTCGATCTGTATTTCCGAGTGTTCTTGGAGCCTGTGGAGAGCAGGTCTTCGGGGTGAGACTAACTTGAGGGCACGGCCCAGTGCACCCAAAGAGCTCACGAGGAGTCACGCCGCAGGATCAGACCAGTCCCAAAGGAATCCCCCTGTAGGTGTGTGTGCAGGTGGGTGCCCGGTCCCCAGCACCGACCCTTTCCTTGGTGAGGGGACGGCCTTGGGCACGCTGCCTGGGCTGGGCACCTCCCCACGGGCGCCCGCGGCTGGAAAGCCCTTCCCTGCTTTGCTGGGAGCCCTGCAGCTGCTCCCGGTCGGGGTGAGCTGGCCTGAGCCGAGGAACTCCAGCTAATGGTGGAGAAGGGTAGCATCAGTTCACCTTTCTTCCATGAAATAAACGTGTGGAATCTTCCCTCAAGGTTTCCCTGACTTCTGGAGTTGTTAAATCACTTATTTCCATATTTGCTTGTTTGTAACACGCCTGCTTTAATCAGTGCCGTGGGACTTCCTGACAGCACTGGGACGTATTTCACGTTCACATCAGAGGAGAGCAAAGCCCAGCAGGGTAACATCTTTTTTTTTTTTCTTTTTTTTTTTTAAGCATAAGACATTTGGTTTTGCTAAACAGATTGGATGTTCTGATTTGAAATTATGAGTGGTTAGACGGCATCCTATCTTTAATTAGGTTGCACAGACTGAGTCATTTTGCAAGCTAGACATTTTAATTTACAATCTACTGCACTGCAGCACTCTTCAAGGCCTTCTGCTGTGTAATAAGGTATTCAACGGGCGGCACAGGCTTTAAAAATACTGGAGGACTCTCTGTGACTTCACTTGTTTATATTTTCAATTTTAGTTGCAAATCAAACATGCAGTTACAGAAGCTGAAATTCAGAAGCTGAAGACTAAGGTAAGAATCAATATACGGTTCATACACGCTGGTTTTTTCCTCTCATACGAGCTCAGATCTGAAGACATGTATCTTTATGTGGGTGGAGAAGTCAACCTCCTTATTAAAGGCTGATTAAGAAGCACAGGGGCTCAGCTAAATCTCGTCTTGGTGTATATGCTCTATTCAAAGTTTCAAGTAAAATCTTAAGTGCTGCTATTAAGAGAAACTGCCAACTTACGTAGCTTCAATTAAACATACATTTTAAGGGGTATCATAATGACTAAATGGCAGATCTCTAGTTTTACAATTCTAATGCATTTTCTCAGGTTTTTAAATTATATTTGGATGGAATATTCAAATCTAAGTTTGTAGCTTTTTATTTACTAGTGATGTTGAAATATCATGTTTATGCTAGTTGCCTTTTTTTGGCATTAAAAAAACCAAAACTGATTTCTTTAGAGGTATTTAGTAGGAAATACTTTTTATATACAGAAGAAAAAGTGCTGTTTCATGTTGTTGCAGTTCTCTTTAAAAGATACTCTAGAAAGGAAAAAGCTTACCAGTTTAACCGAAAACGTTATCTCACAGTCGGTTGCTAATTATTAGATAGAATTTGCAATAGCAATAGAGAGGAATTGTATTTTTTGTACTAGGATAACCTTTATGGGAAGTCAACTGATAAATCAGTTGTTGAGTCATATTAGGCTTTATAATGACATCCTTCTCCTTGAATTTGAGTATGTTATAAAGGAAGTAAAAAGAAGAGCAAGAGAAAATTGTACTTGAGAAAAAGATTTTAGATTATTATTTCTTTCTAGCAACGTTTGTGCTCACCGTCAGTTTTGCACAGTGTTTATCAAGTCTGCATAAATTATGGTTAAAAGCAAATTCCAAGTGCGACAGTTCTCCAGTTAGAGAGGCAGGAATCGCTTCTCCTCCGCTCCCCAGTCCCAGTCTGGCCATCGGGGCCGTGCCGAGCCCCGTTACTCGATGGCAGCGCTGCGGGGGTGGGAGCGTTGACCCACGGGCACCGTTCGGGTGGCTGTGCCCGCGGGGTGGGAGCCCCGTGCCCGGGGTTGGCAGCCGAGCTGGGTGAGGGGCATTGCCGACAGCAGGTTTTGTCTTTGCGTGTGTCACCGGTGATGCCAGCAGAACTGCCGAGGGTGAACGAAACGCTCTCGACGAGTGAACAGCGATGTTGAGGCTTTTTTTTTGGTTTCTGTACGTTCTGGGAGCTAAAATGCCCACACGCTGCTGAGCCACCCTGCCCTTAGCCAGCACCCAGCGCTGGGACTGCAGCACCTTCGCTGGGGGGCGGGCAGCCTGGCAGAGGAATGAAATCTGACAGCAAAGCGAGCCAAGGAGACAGTGTTTCTTACAAGCTCCGCAGTAAAATTCAGACTTTTTTGAGGTCGCTTGGAAAAAGTCGTTGGGTTTCACTGGTGGCAGACAGCGGCACGAGGAGCGGGGCTGCGCTGGCCCCAGAGGGAAGCGGCGCTGGGGCGTTCGGCGGAATTAGCGCTGCAGTCCTCAACGGCAAGGGCAGGTTTTCCTTTTCACCTCGGCTCCTTACGACTCGCTGAGCCACTCCAAAGAAAACAAGAGTAATGTGTTTATAACGGGTTCCCTTTGTCCTCGTGGTGGTTCCTGCGTAGTTTCAGTGTTGGACCCAAAACTCTGTGCTTGCTGAAATGAAAAAAGATTCCAGGTTACGACCTGATGTTGGATTTTGAATTATGCTCCAACCTCTTTTGTTCAGCTTTCTAGATTGAGCGAGATTATGACATGAAAACAGACATTGTAAGAATTCAATAGAATTTCTAATTCGGGTAAAAAAGCAGATAGATAGATTAGATGCAATTGGCTTTTTTCCCATTGTTTTCTGAATTGTTCTTAAATCAAATACAGAACCTGGAAATCAGATTCCCCCCCAAAATAAGAAATGTCATTGTTTAGTGGAGGCGCTCGAATGCTTTATAGCACCTGAGCCACATGCATAGAGCAACACGCATCCCCGGTGCCGACTGTGAACCCTGCAGTTTGCCTGAACTCCGCTGTTGCCGTCGTTAAGGTGCGTTAGTGTAACCCAGGGAGGCACAGAGCCTGCGCTGGGACGCCGAGCGAAGGCTCTGCTCTGTTTTTGGAGGAGGTTAATGTACGTATCAGCCTGTTTTCTTTGTCCGGGAATGCTCTTCTCACTGCTAGCTTGTTACGACTGTAGTTGCTAACTCGCTGGTTTTCGCTGTTCGTGTTGTTTGGATTAATCCCGAGCTATGAGGCTGCACTGCAGCTTTTTGCTGGCTGCATCTCCCCTCTTGTGTTCAGCTGCAGGCTGCCGAGAATGAGAAGGTGAGGTGGGAATTGGAGAAGACCCAACTCCAGCAGAACATTGAGGAGAATAAGGAAAGGATGATGAAATTAGAGAGTTACTGGATTGAGGCACAAACCCTGTGTCACACGGTGAATGAGCACCTCAAGGAGACGCAAAGCCAGTATCAGGCTCTGGAGAAGAAATATAACAAGGCAAAGAAATTAATCAAGGATTTTCAGCAAAAGTAAGCAGCTACGCCAGGCTCAGCAAATGCCTTAGTGGCCAGATAGGAAACATGTATGTGATCTGTTTTGAAATGTGAAACCCACTATTAAACACCTGTAAGGTAAACACTGTTTTTCACCTTTTTTTTTTTTTTTTCATGAAAAACACGGGCTTTTTATTATGGCAAACTGTTCGTAGTGTTCAAGTACTAGTTTAGTATTGTTGAAAAATCACACTATACCTAAATAAAGACTTCATCTGTAGTGTTCCAGGTTGGAATGTTTCAGAATTACTAAAAAACTCAACGTGATTGCGAACAACCAAGAGTACCCGCAGCGGGGCCCTTGGTTAGCAAGGTTTGCAGCAGTTTGCATTGGTATTGTGTCGGCTGGATTCACTCCTGCCGTGTACTAATGCAGCGTCAAAAAGCAAATTGTTTTGTTACATTTTACATTTTATTTTTCTTCTTCTCGTAGATGCCAAGAATGTTTGAGCTGAGTTGAGCTAACTGGTGGTTACCTGGCCCCTTTGTTCCTGTGGTGGCTAGCAAGAATAATAACATCTTACATTTCGATAACAGCTTCCATTGCCCCAGATTTCTTTTTTTTTTGCAGCAACTTTTTAATTTTCTGATGAAATACGCTCATTTAAAGAAGAACACTCAAAAACATGCAGCAATGTCAAGTGACAAGTGGGAGTGCAGAAGTGAATGTGCTGCCCCATTAAAAAGGGCTGTAGATAGTCAGAATGTCGTTACCCATCGTGGAATGTCCTCACTGTTCAGAACTAGCTGCATCTTGTGCGCTTTCCATCGCAAACATCTTTGATTTTCAAAATAAAAAGAAATAGGGAAAAAGCTAGAATGAGCTTGGATAGCCTTTCTGTTGTTATTCTGCTTTGTATTAGTAAAAGATCTAGTCAGTCGTTTTTCACTCTCTCAGACTCCTACAACCACCTGACAGATTTCCTTCTAGCTTAGTAGAAAGCCAGAGCTGTACCTGGGAAGCAGGGAGGTCCCTTCTGCGCAGGAGTGCGGTCAGACGCTGGCAAACAGATTTTGCTCTGCTTCCTGCAGCAGAACAGAGCCTAAACTCAGGTGACGCTGCGTTCACTGTAAATACAGATTATGAAAAAATGGGTTTGATTTAACTGTTTAGCTTATCAGTTGGAACAACTGAGGTGGTGGGGTTTTTTTCAGATAAATTCCTCTTTCGTACATAAAAAGTCTTCACCTAGCCTATTCGCTTAGACCAAGTGATTGTTCAGGGGTTTGTCCTAATTGCAGTTTCGTACCTCTCACTGGGTTAGTAAGAGGTTACTTGATACGGACAGGTTTTTCTGATGTGTAGCTTAAGATCTATCAGAACGTTTTATTTTCTGTTTGAATGGGATTGCTCTGATGACAGCAAACGCATGTTTTTTTCCCTAAGAGAACTTGATTTCATCAAACGCCAGGAAGCTGAACGGAAGAAAATTGAAGATCTGGAGAAAGCACACCTTGCAGAGGTTCAGGGCTTACAGGCTCGTGTGAGTAGTGTTTGCTCTCCTGTTTGGAGACAGTTCTGTCTGATATTCTGGGAGAACCCCGTATCTGATAGATGTTATGGGAAACACTGTGTTGGATTTCTTTCAGATACGAGACTTGGAAGCAGAAGTTTTCAGGCTAATGAAGCAAAATGGGAGCCAGGTTAACAATAACAACAACATTTTTGAAAGGCAGACATCGTTTGGAGAAGTTTCTAGAGGAGATCCAGTGGAAAACCTAGATACTAAGCAAGTGTCCTGCCTGGATGGCTTAAGTCAAGGTTTGTTTGAACCAAACCATAGTTCCTGTTAGTGCATGTGTAAATGGCATGGTTATCATTTAGGATTTGAAAGAAACAGTTAATAATGCAGAGAGATGATGTTATTTTTCTGAAATTCAGTATCTGACGATGGCTGTGTCAGGTTGTACCAAATAGTGTCAATATAGAGTCCCAGAACAGCTGTACAATGTAGGTTCGTAAAGAAATGGAAGTGACTAAGTGCTAATAAAGCAAGATCGTTATTGATGTCTTAGAGCTTTCAGCGGGATGCCATCAACATTTAGGTTTAATGCAATGCTTTCGTTATGTTAGTAAAGTAGGAGAAAACTCTTTATTCTCCTGTGTGCCTAGATCTGTCCTTGATTACCCAACGACCAAAGATCAAACAAGAACAGAGTTCCCAGCATGGGAAAACCGGTGCTAAATCTGCCACCCTGAGCGGATCTCTGCAGGTTCTGATCCCGCCTGGGTACGGGCAGCAAAACGAGCCGTGTAGGTGGCACTCACCGTTCCCCAGGATGGAGCCTTTCGTGAATAAAATGCAAGTGCTTTGCTAGCACATTAATTAAAAATCTCACTCAGCCACAGCACAGCCTGATTTACAACATTAGGACTTACAAGACTTTGTTCTGCTTCACCAAAGAGCCAAAACAGGTTGTGGCGACACCGAGATGAGACAGATGCTGCCGGCAGGGTGGCTGTAGCCTTTACTTGTTCCACGTAGAAAAGATAATTTCCATTTTTCGGGCTGCGCCGATGAAAATGTGCAGATAACCTCCGCGGCTTTGGGTGAAGTTCTGTGATTGCAAGTGCCCCCTGCCTGTTGAATATCTGTTGAATATCTGCAGAATTAAAGCCAATTTTAGGTCCACAGCCTTGGAACAGGACTGTTTGGCGCAGGAGTGATACTTACTGTGTATTTAATAGCATCCATGAAATCAGATGTTGGAGGTGTTGGGATTCTGACAAGGGAGCACCAGACCCTGTTCCTACATAGGTTTTCGTTTTAAATAAATTACAATATTATTTGTAATATAGTTTCTTCATTGGCTTCAGTGAGGCCCAGAGGTCTCCGTTTACATTTGTTCAAAGCAAAGAAGTCCGTAAGATCAGCTTCTAACTGATTAGTGTGCTATGATTGCAGTACTTCAGTACATAAATCTCACGGCTTCCGATTTGATTTGTACTATGAGGATTGCAAAAAAAACTAAAAAACCCATAAAGAATCTATTCTTTGTCTGGTCTAAAACGTGAAAACACCTTTTAAAAGGCATTTTGCCTTACTGCAGCGTTGTAAAATGTTAGATTTGCTGAAATACTCACATTTTGTTTGGGTGGATGATTGATAACTAGGCAAAGTGCAGTTACATTAGCTCTGTCTGTAGAGGCAAGCCTGACCTGAAGCGTTTGGTACAGTTAGCTCACAGCATTCAGGATTAGGGTGGCTTTGAACCTAAGCAGGTACGGTGGTTTCGTTGTTCCGTTTCATATGAACTGTTTCTCCAGTTTTCCTGTATCACGTAACAGTGTTTGGGCAGTTGATGAAAGGGGAAAGATCTGAAACTGCTTTCCCTCCGATACCAAAGGAATGGGTTTTCATGATTTTTCCAGCAGAAATTTGTATGTAGAAAGACAACAGGGAGTAAGCGTGAGAGTGACCGTGTCCAGCTCTTTTCTGATGGTATATAAAAGTAGCACAGCGCTGGTTTGGGGGTTTTTTCCATTTTATTAAGGTATGTTCAGACAACATCTGCACAAACTCCAGCTGTTCAGAAAATACAGCAACTTTGTAGGGTTGAGAAGTGGGAGGGTAGAGTACATCTGCTGGCTTTCACCCAGATCTTCTGGTGACTGTGGGGTTTTGTTGGGGTAATTACTGCTGCCTTAACCGCACCTCTCGGAGAGTTCTTGGGCTGTTAGATCAGGGTAATGCCGGATCCAACAGTCCCTGTCCTGCCCCACACGATATGCTCGGTTTTATGAGCAGGGAGAAGCAGAGTCCCTTCACACTTGAGCAGATCATGGCCTTAAAAAAAAATGTGACAGTCCCCCTCACGATCGCGTCCTCTAGACCCATGCTTAAGGCGGGGGCTTGGCAGCGCGTCTGCTGGTGCGCTCCGAGAGCGAGGGAGGGGAGGGCCTGTTTGTGTCGGCTGTTTGTGGGAGGGGCAGGGATGTTTTACCTAAGTTCACCTGAGTTTGTGTAGATTTTAAAGAGTTTGAGGGAACTCTGATTAAAAAGAGAGAAGAATCTACCGGAGGGGGCAGTGGTTCAGAGGTCGGTGTGGCAAAGGGGGACGTAACAAGTGAGGCTGCCAGGTGCTAAGAAAAAGGCGCTTTTACTCCCAGAAGGGTTGGGTCGAGCAGTTGGGGGCACCTTGTTTGTATTGTCACACAGAACTTTGGACAGCAGATGACCTCAGAATCCGGACGAGGATTGGGATTCCTCTCTGCTGTCCCCTCCTGGGAGGGACAGTGTGGTAGAGTGAGCGACCGGTTTCACCGTAGCTCCGAAGGAATGAGTTTAACGCTGGTTTCATGCCCCTGCGAAAGGCTGCCTGGAAAGGAATCCGGTCACAGAGGGTGTCTGGTTATTCGGGTACTACCTGTGTCGCTGTCTGGGCTCAGAACTTGCACGTATTGTGCAAGGTTGTTTTGGGGGACATTCAGTACAGGAGAGAACAAGTCACGTTCTTTAAATTTATAAGCCATTCTGTGGTCAAATGTGGAGCAGCCTGAGGACTGCTCTAGACGTTTCTTCTGTAATTCCGTGAGCAGCCTGCAAAAAACTGGGGAAGTTCTAAGGGAAATGCCTAGCTGGGGCAGCTGTGGGAGAAATGGCAGTCCGGTGCCTCCTCCTCAAGGGGCTTAAAAGGGCAGGACTGGGGATAAATGGACTGTCCCCTGGGTCTAAATCGGGATATTCATCCCGATGCTGGGAAATGTCTGCCACAGAGCAGTGAGACGAGGGTTCCTTTGCGTTACGCCCTGATGGAGGAGGAGTCTCTGCAAGCCAAGCACATGCCAGTCCCTTCGAGGGAGTCTCCGTGGACCGGCTTTCTGGGCTGGTACAGCTGGTTTCATGGGGTCCTTCACCTAGTGGTGAATCGTTTGTTGAACTTTTAAGTCTTTGCAGTTGATTCTTTGCTATGGACTGGCTGGATCTGTGGAGACAAACTCGTTAGTGGTTTATAACCTGTGTATAGTATGCAAATAACCTTTTTTGTTTGCATGAGTACTGCTCCAACAGCTACGAAGACACAGGTACGGGTAAAACGTGCGAAGCGCACGTACTCACAATGGCAGGTCCCGTCTTAGGAAAAAGCAGTGAGAGATTCTCCTGTCACAGAGCTTCAGATCACGTTTCCCCACAGATTTCAACGAAGCGGTGCCAGAAACGGAGAGACTGGACTCCAAAGCTCTGAAGACCCGAGCTCAGCTTTCGGTGAAGAACAAGCGGCAGAGACCTTCTAGGACCAGGCTGTACGACAGCATCAGTTCCACGGACGGAGAGGACAGCCTGGAACGGAAGGTGAGCAGGACTCTGCCCTCTCTTTCGGGCTTCCCGTGGAGCGCTAGGTTGTGAGCCGTTCCACCCTCGTCTTTGTCCCTGCGTGGTAGCCCAGGCAGCGTGTGCTCCTCTGCGGCAGCGCGCTGTGAGTGTCCTTGAGCGACGCGCCGGGCCGGTCTCCCTCCAGTCAGCGCACCTCGGTTTTTGCTTTTGTTGTGGTTTGTTGGGGTTTTTTTTTTTAAACAGGAATCCTGGGCTTCCTGGTTTAGGTGTGCTTTGTGACGCAGAGTGGGTCCTTTCGTCTATGCAGGAGGCGAAAGGGACTTGAACCGTGTGTTTCTCTATTTGTTAAGTTGTTAACGCAGTGGATGCGGTGCTCACGCGTTGTGTTGCCCTGTTCTGGCTTCCGTCCGAGAGCAAATCCCAATGAACAGCACTGTGTGTGGTATCTAAAGGTAATGGCATGAATTGCTACGGCGTTTCGTACACGTAGGAGGCTAAATAACGAATAAAAGAAGTGCATGTTGGAAGTGAGCCTTGCTCTGGTTACCAAATGGCATAACCTGCTTTATAATCTCTTGTACCAACAGCCGCCCAACAGTCACGGTAGCCCCATGCACATTTCAAAATCACCACTGCCCTTATGCATGAGAGCGTCCTCACCAGCATCAGACTCTGGTGCTTCCTCCCTCTCCCCCGTGGCTAGCAGGGCGGCCAGCTCACTTGACAACCTAGCTGAGCGCCGAGAAGAAGGACAGCACCGCAAGGGAGGTGTCCTTTCCCCGCCTGCTCGGGGAGACACTCCGCTTTCCTCTCCTTCCAAATCTGGGCACAGCTCCGAAGCGTCTCCTTTGCATCACCCAGCTGGCAGCAATGTTGTGCGGGATAAAGGTATTGCTATTTTTTACAATAAATTGATGCGTCGTTTTGCTCACTTACCTCTACTTTATGAACTTCTGGTGCGTAGCAGGACCTTAGCAACGAGCAGGCCATCCTCTCATAGCTTCTTTTTGTCTGCCTGGAGGCTAAAAAATTACAAATGGCCTCGTACGGTGGTATAAGAAAAGGACAAAGTTTAAAATGAGCTCAGGAACTGCTGCCTGCCTTATTTTTTTTTTTTGTCTTTCTTAGAACTCACTGAAAAAGCTAGGGGGAAGTTGCCTTTAAGAAAATCTTGTCTTTTGTTTTAAAAACCCCAAATTATTGGACCTTGGGACCTTTCCATGTTAGAAACATGCTTAACACAGTGTGCTTACTCGAATTATGTGATTTTGGCACTGCTAGATGCCTTTTTTGGAGGGTGGGGAAAGGAATGTAACGCAAGAATAACAGATTGTAGCTTTTAATTGCTGAGAGGCAGCACTGTCTGGATTAAACGAGGTTAGTGTCTGGACACTCTTCATTTACAGAACAAAAAATCAAGTCATTTGCTGGGCAGGTTGGCCGCATTGTTATTTACTTAATTCGGATTCTTTAAATGCAAGCTGGGTAAAACATGACGCGATCGTACCTCGCTCAGGTGCCTCTCTCAGATACCCGTTCATTAAATGCCTTAACAGCACGGTACGGCACGGAACGCTGAGCCGTCCTTTTCACACGCCTTGGGAAGTCCAAATTGGCATCCTACACAACGCCAGCATTCCGAGCTGTGCACCTTGCGTTCTCTAACTGTCACATGAGCTAAAATACCTCATAAAAATTGTTTTTAAGTGAGGATGGCGGGAATAGGTCTGGAGAGGTTCATAACAGACTTTGGCTTACTTAAATTAACTGAAAAGAACAATTTGTTGAGGATTTTTGTTTGTGTGTGTGTCTGAAAAGACTTGCCACTGATTTACAACCTATTTTTGGTTCATCTTCATACAGAGCTTTCACACAGATTCCTAAAAGGCAGATTAATGAAGTGTTCTTGAATTTAGGACAGGTTAATACCTGCTAGGATTTTTACATGGGTTCTGAAATTGCTAGTCTAACTGTATGGTTTCTAATTGCGTAATTGTTAACAAATCAAGGTTAAATTCAATATTTGAGCTTTGCAAGTGAAAATAAGGGTGTGAACATGAATGTGACTTTCCAAACTCGTACGTCACCTTGAGTGTATGACAGGTTTATCAGTGAAGTCATAAATCCTGCATTTCCAACTCATGTATGGAAAATACCGTGATAAAAATCTAGCGGAGACTAGCCTTGTAGTGTAAGGAATAGGGTATTATATTCCACCCACTGTGTCGCTCTTTCCACTTTAGGTTTGAAATATAATCTGTCTAAGTATTGCTGTCGTGCTTTCCCCTCTGTGACCATCAAGTCAACCACCGGTGCTTTCGGGTGTACCCGGATTCTGATGGCTACCTGAAAATTAAACCACAGTGGTTCAGTTTCAAATGGAAAATTTGCATTTAGTAAGTCCTACAGCAGACAATGAACTATCCTGAAGCAGCTGTTTGGCGACAAGTGTGGTAGCGGTGCTGTTTTCATGGGTTGTTGGTTTGGCTGTCGGACTCCTACAGGCAGAAAATAGAAAGGGCCGTTGGGTTTGTTCTGTGTGTTCAGGGAGGGTTTTTTAGAGATGGAGCTCTGTGGACACGCGCGTGTCCGTCGATTAACCCCTCACGAGCGAAGCGAGCGTTAGCCAGCTCCCGCTTGTCTTTTGTTCTTTCCTTACGAGGTCCTGCCGTGCTGTGGGGAGAGCTGGAGCGGCACGGGGTCCGTTTCATTGCAAAACGACGAGGAATTTTGCTTGTTCATCCGAGCACAGCTTTTTCGTGCCTGTGTGCGGTTGATTTATTTTCTTCAGTTCTGCCTGGGCTGTGCCACAGCATCCTTTGACGAGCAGGCGAGGTGACCCCTCTGGGCAGTCCTCCGCTGACGTGAGGC